TAACTGGGACACAATAAACACTGCAGCGAGCAGGACTTATCAGGTATGTAATGAGCTGCTGCCCCCACAAATAAATCCTCACGACAGCTGCCCCGGTGTACCCCGAGCCCCGAGCACCTTCCCAGTACCATAAACATGGCCACTCAAAGCTGCGGGTACAAGCCACTCACTCAATGTTGCCTCCAGCAAAACATGATCGTAAATCCCTAAAAAAGTGAAAGATCCAGGTGTTAATAAATAATTTTTGGTGCATTAAAATATAACATACAATAAAGTATAAATAAACATCCCCGGCTGTGGTGGGCAGTCAGCGCAGCGCAGAAGGAGAGCTGAGCTGTGCAGAGCTAACACGCAGCTGCATGGAGAAGAGCCTGAACAGCAGGCTGGAGTTGCATTCGCTCTTCGAGTTTCCATACTGAAGGGTCCAGCTATAGCACCAGTGAGGAATCTGGTTTATTACAGTGATTTTAACCAAACAGCCTCCTTATAATGAGTCCTCTGGCGCGTGCCAGCCAGGATGATGCTCCGTAAAGAGTTTGTCTGCAGCAATTATTCCTCCTGTTGATCACTGAGCTGCAAAGGGAGTTTTCATCAACCTGAGGGCTCCACCTAATTCCTGCAGCAAACGCAAAACCAAGTCAAACCAATGCCCAGTGTAACTCCGCTACCTTCCAAAGAGAAAATTACTTTACTTCATTAAACTACAACAAAAAAGCAGTAACTAAAGGAACTGTAGAGCTGGTTATCAAACCAGCGTGGTGGAGCATGTTCGTTCCCGACCAGGTAATCATGAAAAACACAAAGGCGAGTAAGTGAGGTGGAAAGCAAGGGGGACGTGGTGCCTTCTACCCATCACAAACAGCCGTAGGTTCCTCAGAGCTCAAAAGCCGTATGACTCTTACAGCTGAAAGGTTTTAATGCTGAATAAAACCGAACAGACCTAACACTTTACTCTGAGTGTTTCAGAAGATGAGCTGAAGATGAAGACTCAAGATGAGTCATCTGCCAGGCTGCAGATGGGAGAAAGGGCCTCGGGAACATGAAGTAACTTGGCGAGGTACACAGGATAGCATCAGCAAAGAGAGGAAGACCCCCAGTCTCCTCTTCTTCCTCTACCAGTTCTCTGTTCAGCCGGACACTGGATGCACACTGGATGCTCCAGGCAGCACTCTCAACGCAGGGTCTCCACTTCACACTCGGCTGTGGCCATGCAGCACGTAGAAGCAGCAGAGCAGTGCATGCCATTAAAAGACTCTGCAAATGTATACAAGCCCAATCCTGAAAACCTTTACCTCCCACAGCTGCTCTTGCCAGCTCTTAAAACTGGGTTTAGTGGTGCCAAACAAGAACAGTTCTTTCCATAACGATCTTCAGGCTTGATCAGAGGCTGGAGACGACTAACCCCCAGGCCCCCCTGCAGCAGTTCAACCTCCATCTCCCTGCAGAAGGTGCCCGAAAACACTCACCCGGCCCTGTTTCTGACCGCATTCAGATTGCGACTGGAAAGCCAATAATGGCAAAGATTACAGAATGACTGGCTAAACAAACTTACTTGTGTTTGTAATTAAAACCAGTGATTATCTTGCTGCATTTGCCAACCACATCTGAGAAACAGCCAACACTCACAACACGGCTGGCTTTGTAAAACGTCTCCTTTGACTTGGTGCTAGGGCGCCAACCAGCAGTGAGTGATGAAAGTCAATCGGGTTGCACCAAAAAGCAGTGTAGGAAAAATTGCACATACCCCATTCTGCCAGAGCAGTCTGCTTGAAAAGAGCGCAGCTCTGCTCTCAGTCTCCCCCGCACCTGATATCATCTTCTCTGAGGTTGCTCTGAGCTAAAAGAGCACGACGTGGCTCTGCGATAAGGTGGCAGGCACCGTGCACACAAGGCTCACATTGAACTCAGTGGACCCTGATCTTGTAAAACTTAAGGTTGTGCTTAACTCTAAGCTAACGCATACTCCCATGGACTTGATGTAACCGTGCCAGCAGTTTTATTAAGATTTGGGCAAGATGTCTCAAGGTCCTGTGGGTGCGCTGCATCATTAGGGAAAAAAGGAGATCAAGCCACAACATCCCATGGCTGATCAGCACTCAGGAAGGAATATTTCAGCAGACACAGATAACACAGAGAATCAGACATGCAAGCTTTTGTCTGCACCAGCTGCACCGAGCCTGACTGGGCTGTCAGATCTGAGTCTGTGCTCTTACTTTTTCCTCTGCTATGAATCTTACCCACTGGGGAGCAAAACGAACTCCTGGCTGTCTGCCGGAAACAGTGTGGATGTTACCTTATCGAGGCTTCTGCAAAATTTTTGGAAAGTGAGAGAAAAGGAAGACTTTAAAGCGCATTAATGTCTAAGAAAATGCAGATAGCAACAGTATCTTTGAAAGAAAAGCTGAACCTAGAACATGTCCCCTCAGTCTATTTTAAGGTAGAAACTGTTTCAGGGAGAAAACAGAAAGAAAAGCATTTTGGAATGACAGAAACCATAAGAAAGGTCTGCTGCTCTTAGACCAGAGAGCAGCAAGACACGCAGCTGGTTATAAAACCATGATACAGACCCATTCCTCCAAGAAAAAAAAAAAATCAGATAGCTCATATAACCAGATCCAACTACGCAGTCCCGGATGAAAATCCTGGAATTTTTTGGAATGAATGAAAATAATCTGTTCAGCAAGCAGATGAGTAAGTTATGTCATAAACGTGTAATAGCACATCCATACTGTATCGATGAAACGCAGTTTGAGCTGGTAGCAAGATGGGGTCTTGTTTCCAACAACCCTTCCTTTTTTTAACCATCAGGATCCTTGAAGTCTGCGAAGTCAGGCGCTGGACTGCCGACCCCTGCACTCAGGGCACGTGTGACAAAGCACAGCTGTCACCTAAGTCTCCACCAAGGCTAGACCAGGATTTAAAGATTCACAAATATCACCATAGCCCGTTCCTGCGTTTTTTGCAGAGGAGACCTGAACTCAACTGTTGGAGAAGCAGCACAATGAAGTTGAACAATTCTGCCACCCCATGGGCACCAGGTAAAGTCTCAGCAAATTGATCCGGAGCAGGTGCCGGCAGGAAGGGGGCAGGATCTACCCACCTCCCCGCGAGAGGAGCTTCATTTATCATCTACGCTGTGTCCACACCAGGGCCACACGTTTTCTTCAGTCCTTAGCGGTGTTTCCCCCCCGAAAGGCTCTGCACAAGAGCCATCCTTCTTGAGGTCTATCTAGTGATTTCACTACCAGATTCTTATCCTGAAAATCGTATACGGAAGAGCAGCCCCAAGAGACTGAAGGACAGAGAAAGCCCTTGGGATCTCGGTATCTAAGGTCAGTGCTGCAGCATTTTTCAACCACCAGTAGAAAAGTATCAGCCTTTAAGCGCAGTCTCACTACCTCTACCCCCACGATTGCTCTGGTCAGTGATGGATGCACATGCCTGGCTTGCAAAAAGGCCAGACAGACCAAAAGTAGGCGCAAAACCAATGATCTCCCAACGATTCATCTGTACATTGTAATTGAGTTCATTTGTAATGAAGAGGGATAAAGCTGTATTTCCTCCTTCAGCACAAGAACCATATACACAAAAGAGGCTATCATACTGCTTGGTTAAGTGTTACTATTTAATACAACATGGGAAAAAGCACAAGAATTAAGGATGCGTTGCTATTCATGACTTCAGCAGGTTCCTGCTTGAGCCTTGAATTGTACAATAAGCCCACAACCAAGCTGGGAGCAGAACCAGGAACCCTGAATTTTGCTTTAACCGATACAAAATACTTTCTCCAGAAAATAAGCTAACAAATGACATTACAGACTGCCATTAAATGCTCATACTCAGGAGACCACACAGCAACCGAACATACATTTCTGACCCGTGTGCATGCAAGAAGAACAGCTACTGAACGCCAGGCTTCCCAGATGGGAAGCTTTTACTTTTTTACTCTGTAAAGGAGCAACTTTGCTTTTCTGCTCTCTGACTTCACTTGCAGGGTAAAGACCGTCTATACCCTAACATCTACCTGCTGCTCCCAAAACCACAAGGTTAACCAGACTTCAAATCAACTCCACTTTGTCCTAGCCTCAGTCCATCAGACTGCAACAGAAAACCCACTGCCACCAGCGTCTCAGTTTTATATCTCTGCAACAGTAGGTCTCAAAGCATAAAATGGGGTGGAAACAACAAGATCGAACTCCAAGCAGCAGCCTGAGTGGCTTTGCTTTTACCTGAAACCAGGATAATTAAAGTAGGAAGTAGTAACAAGGAGAAGAGACCGAGCCTGCTGGCTGAACCACTGCTGTGTTTTTACACTTTCTCTCTCGGATTGCGGTTTACAGGTTAGAGGGTAAGAGCTGTCTGCAACAGCTGGGTTTAGAGTGAACAATCCACATAATCACTCAGAGCCCCGTTAGGCCAGGGTCCCACCAAACTAGCTTTATCTTTACAACTTCTGATCTCTGCACAATGTCAGCAAGAGACCCTGCTGGAGAAAAGAAAGGCTTATCTCAGCCCTTTCCTCCCCCTGACGTGAAGACAGTGGCTCTACACAACCCCAATATCAAAGGAGTCAAATTCCTGATGGTTAATACCCAGGAATGAGCAGAGCTCTCCCCTCCCCACCCTAGGAGCGTACCCCGCTTCCCGACCCAGAGCCCCAACCTCAGAGAGCAGCAGTGAGCAGCAGCAGAGACAGAGATGCTGCGATAACAGTTAAATGCCGCGGCCAGAGTTGACGAGCAATTTTCCAGTTTCTTTCCACCAGGAAAAAACCCCACAAACCCTCTTTTATGCTTTCAGTTCATTAAACGCTCGTCTCAAAACTAAACTGATAAGGGAGAGAGCATCCCCACTGTTCAGCTCTCTGCAGACCATGCAATCCCCTCCAGGCAAGTGTACACGCTCGAGGCTGGAGTCCTGTGCGGGATCAAGACTCAGCTACATGGCAGACAATTAACAAACAGTGGAAACAATGTTTAGAGCCAAATAGCTCTGCTTACCTCACATTTAATTTACGCTCTTCATCACTGCCAACCTCCAGCTGAGGGGAGAAAAGAAGGATACAGAGAAAGTTACACGCCGGTTGTTTCCATACTACAACTTTTAAAAAATCCCCACGCTTTTTAAAACCATCCCTACAATAACAGGTTTTGGGTGGTTGCTTTCCGTGGGGGTTTTCTTTCCGGTGCCAGGGATAAATGAGACTGCAAAATAAATGAGACATATATGCCATCAGCACCCGGTGCCGGGTGACAAAGGGGCTCACGGGGATTTTAAAGCTATTAGATCCTAATCCTGCAAGCTGGTCCTAGAGCGCAGATCGGTTTGAAGATCGCCAACCTCGACGTCACCCAGAGTGCACACACATCGCTCCCACTGAGCGCCACACGTGAGGGCAGAACCTGTCCCGAGTGAAGGCTGCTAACGAAGAGCTGGGCACAAATTAACGCTGTAATTCAGGGTGTGCAGCGACAGCACAAGTGCCCTCCAGCGGATGCAGCCAAAACTGCCCAGCTGGGACTGCCCCAAACTCCAGCACCTGAACCCCAACCTGGCACTGATGTGCAGCTCCACCGCACACACCGGCAGGGCCCCTCCGCCCTCTCTGAGCTGCCACCTCACCAACGAGGCCACCTCCATCTGGGCGCTGGCAGAAGACGTGTCCCGAGGCTAGGACGATGTGCACCTGGCTGTACAGTCATCAACAAGTCCTACGTCTGCTGCCTTCCTGATAAACACACTGCTTTGACGGCAGGCACGTATTAAAACGGCCGCTTTTTCACCGGGCACTGGTAGAAAGCCCCCCTGGAAGCAAATCTGGCTGCTCAGGTGACATTACTGGCCCTTACACTTTACTCTCCTTAAAACAGAAGCGTGCTGGCTGACTTAAGCCTACTTTCTGAGAGGAACATTTTCACATTGTTGTGCTTTCCAGCCACCTCCTTCAACTTCTCTATTAGATTCTGGACAAAATTCCATATGAAAGAAAAACAGAGTTGAGGCTAATTGCATCCAGAGCTGATCGAAAAAAAAAAAAGGCTCAAAGGTAATTCTCCTCCTTTGGTCCTGCATAAGCAGACAGAAGAGAAAGGGCCAGGAGCATCCCCTCAGAGGGCAAGGTGGTGGGGAGATGGTTTGGACCCATGAAGCAAAGCGGGGACCTTACAGATCGCCCTGCAACAGGAAAACCTTCAAACTTGCAACACACCGCACACCAGAGCCTAATGAAGCTGGAGGGACACAAACCTTTAAGAAATCACGCTCCATCAGTGCTAACGCTCAGGCAACATTTTGTTACTTACTACAACATTGCTTAAAACCTACATCAAATAAGGGCCACTGTAAGGATTACTTGTTTCCAGGCAGTTTTGTAGAAGTTAAAAAAAAGCAAATAGTTTCATGTTAAACGTTCAAGCTTTAAGTTTTGTGTGTGTGTAGGACCTGGGTTGTTCCCCACCCCGCCAAGTTAAGACTCGGGAGGCCAGAGCGCACAGGAGCTGCTCTGTTTACAATCTGCGAGAACCAAGTAATGCCAGGAAAAAAAAACCCAAATGCAACCACACAGGCCGGATATTAGAAATATAGCCATTTGGAGGAAAAGAGATACACAAAGCCCATCCCAAATGACTGCAGCTGATGGCGAGAAACATACCATGGCTATTTTTAGTCTGTTTACACTGTGCAGTGGCAGCAGGCAGAGCCCTGGGAACCCCCCCAGCCCCAGTGCCCCCCGCCAGCAGATCCCCCCCAGCCCTGGGAAGGTCTGGCAGGTTTTTGGCCTTTGTAAGGTCACCCTCCTGTTTGTTTGGGTCTGTCACGTAGCAACAAGGGGGAGAAAGCCTTTTTTTCTTTTTAAACAAAAGTGACTGTGAAGTCATGACTGTTGTCAGCCGAGGCTCCGCAGCAGAGCCGGCCCCTGAATCTGCTGCGGGCTCACCTTTTGCAGAAGCTGACTTGCTTTCAAAGTCAACTCTCCCTGTATTGTCTATTAAAAAGCTGCAGTAAAACCAAAGCAAGGTGTCTGTCTGCCACGCTGAGTGCTTCTGCCTTGTTTTGGTTAGAGCACCCCTCCGAGCTGGCAGGTTTTACGGTGTGCCACCCACGTGATGCTGTGGACCCGCAGCTGCCCGCCAGCACCACGGATCCCACCACGGCACGGACACCAGCGCCGGGGCCAGACCTCCGCATCCCTCCCCGGGGACTGTGCAGACTGCGGCCAGGCTGAAGGACCTGGCATGGAGTGGGAGGTGGTGTGGAAGGGAGAGGGCAGCAGACCTAACAAACGCATGCAAGTTTGCAAGTGTGTATGAACTACTCTCTCCTCCTAAGAATTTACGGCACACTACGTTAACACGGCAGCAAGCCTCTTGCAGGCGGCAGCATCCATTTTATAAATTCCTTCAGGCTCATGAGTTACGAGAGGCTGCAGCAGCGTACTCACAATTAGCAAGGACGTATGGTCATCATTTTCCATTAAAAAAAAAAATCTAATAATTATTCACATAGGCTAAAAGCCCCGAAGAGCCCTAATTTTTCTTGCAAGAAAGATCATAAAAGATCAGGGAGCAGGCTGGCACTTTTTGATGGGATTTTTCTTTGAAATTAACTTTGTAAAAACATGCTTGATTTGGAAAAGGACGGTTTATAGTTTCATGGTATTTCATGCCAGAAGGGACCATTCAAACAGAATGGGAGCTGATGTCTTCCTCTGGGAGCCACCGAAGTACACCTGAGCCATGGACATCAGTGGCCAAAGTGCCCTGGCATGGACAAAACCAGGCGACAAGTTCGGGGCAACATTTTCAAGAGAGAAAGGGAGACTCGTACAGTCACCCCACTGAAAAAATAATAGTGAACACAGAGCTCCTACACAATGCCATGCCTACGCAGATGTACATGGCAAGGCGAGGGGCATACTGCTTTGACTCCTCTCCCACTTGCACCAGTTAAATCCAGTCTAATTCCACTGCCTGCAACAGGGTTACAGCTCATTTACATCTGTGTTGATCAGGTGGCCACTAGGTCTCGTTTAAGACTCTGTCTAAACCAGAACCCAACAAAATTCCTCCGGAAAAATCCTCGGAAAAGCACAAGTCCTGTCTCCCAAGTTTCTCAATGAACACAACGCGGTCCAAACACCGGGTCCCTGCAGCCTCAGGAGCCCAAATCACACGACACGGATCTATGGCAAAACAGTCGGCGAAAGGAGGGGATGAGTCACGTCTCCGGCGAGGGCCGTGCAGAGGGAACCCCTGCGGCCCCTCCGGGCGAGGGAGAACCTGTGAGCCCCGTGGCACTGTCCCCCTCCTGCCTCCCCCGCCTCAGACCGGCTAATCGTGGGAGTCACAGGGACCTGACAGGTGACAAATAGGATTGTTTACCTGGCGGGAGCTGGGACAGAGCGAAGCCAAGGGCGGCGAGCACCAAATAAAAGAGGTGTGGGGGGGGAGGGATGCAGAGGGAATATGTAGGGAAGCACCGGGCCTGTCTTTGGGCGTCACAAGAGACATGGGTTAGGAGGAAAAAAGGGATGGACAAGGAAGAAGAAAAAGAAATTGGAGGGTGCAGCTGTGTTGGGATGGCACATGGGAGCTGCGGTGAGGGAAGACAGAAGCCCAAGGCCGGGCAGAGGCAGGAGAGGGCATTTCTGGGGTACGAGAGTGAAGGGGGTGTGCAGCAGAGCTGGGACACACAGGGTGCCTGTCCCAGCAGGGCAGGGGCATGCAGAGGGCAGCATTATGGGGGCAGCAGGTTAAGCGGTGTGTACATGGCTCCGGAGCAGCAGAGCCGAGGAGGAGGAGAGGGCAGCAGCATGGTGCAGGCTGCGCTGCAGTGAGGAGTGGCAGCAGACAGCGCGGCACTGGGACGTCGCGCAGGTACGGGGTGGAGCGGGATGGGAGCTGCTTGGGCAGCAGGGAACTGCCCACGGCTGCCTTGGGGAAGGGTGAGCGTGAGCTTCCTGCGGGGCAGAAGCTGCAGCGGGTGCGGGGAAAGGCAGTGCCGTTGCAGCACGGGCTGCACAGGGACAGAGGGGTAACGCAGGGGGTGCAGCAGAGCATCCTGGGGCAGGAGGTGGCGGCGGCTGTGGGGTGTCAGGGAGGGAGAACGTATGGGGCCAAGGGGCCAGCAAGCACAGCTGCTCCACAAAGACAGGCCCAGCACGCTGCCCGGGGATCTACCTGGCAGAGAACAGCGGAGCAGGCTGCCCCGGGGTTCAGCTGGCCCAAGCTACTGCTGGCGAGGGCTGAAGTGGGGGGCAGCTGTGAGGGAGACGGGGCTGCATGGGGGCGAGGAGGGGACGGCCAGTGTGCAGCGGGGCAGAGTGGGGAGAGGGGTGGATGTTCCCGGGTTTGGTTCAGCCTGGCAGCA